CATTGCCAAGGGATTTGCTCGGAAGGTACCGTCTCATCTTATTCCTGCAAAGACGGGCCAAGTCTGGTACATACCCCATCATGGCGTTTACCATGCCAAGAATCCGAACAAGATAAGGGTGGTGTTCGACTGTAGCGCTAGATTTGGAGGAACATCGCTCAACGACAAGTTGCTACAAGGGCCTGACCTGACAAATCGACTTGTTGGTGTCCTTACAAGATTTCGCGAAGAGCCTATTGCGTTTATGGGTGACATTGATGCAATGTTCCATCAAGTCCGCGTACCAGAGGGCCAGCGAGACTTCCTTCGCTTCCTTTGGTGGCCTGATGGAGACCTAACACAAGACCTTGAAGAATATCAAATGAACGTCCACTTGTTCGGCGCAGTGTCGTCACCAAGTTGCTCAAATTTCGCGCTGAGAAAAGCCGCAGATGACGCGGAAAAAAGTGTTGGAACAGAGGCCGCAGATGTTCTGCGAAAGAACTTTTACGTTGACGACTGTCTGCGCTCCGAAGGAAAAGAAGATACCGCTATCGAAAGGATACGTGATGTTCGCCATGCTTGCGCCCATGGAGGGTTTAATTTGGCCAAGTTCGTTAGCAACAGCAAAAACGTTCTCGAAAGTATCCCGGAAGAAGTGCGCGCCCCAGAAGTTAGATCGTTAGAATTAGGAAGTGATTACTATCCAGTGGAGAGAGCTCTTGGTGTCCAGTGGGCGATCGAATCGGACATGTTCGGTTTCAGAATTGTCATCAAAGACCAGCCACTAACAAGGAGGGGAATACTATCAACCATATCTTCCGTCTACGACCCCCTGGGTATAGCTGCGCCCTTCCTGTTAGTCGGGAAGAAGATATTGCAGGATCTGTGCCGAACGAAGCTAGGATGGGACGACGAGATTTGCGAAGAGTTCCGCGTACGTTGGGAAAGGTGGAGAGGCCAGTTGCCTGCCCTTGAGCGTTTCTCTATGGAACGATGTCTGAAGCCCAATAACTTTGGCGTCGTCGTGTCGAGACAGATCCACAGTTTCTCTGACGCAAGTTCGACTGGTTATGGTCAAGTATCCTACCTTAGAATGGAAAACGAGAGAGGTGACGTCCATTGCGCATTCCTTATAGGGAAGGCTCGAGTTGCTCCCGTGAAGACCATGACTATCCCTCGTTTAGAGTTAACCGCAGCCACTGTATCGGTTCGTGTTGTAGAGATGATCGCCAGAGAGCTAGACGAACCTGTTAATAGCAGGCACTTCTGGACAGACAGCACAACCGTGTTAAAGTACATAAGTAACGAAAACAAGCGTTTTCAAGTCTTTGTCGCCAACCGTGTTCAGACGATACGAGACGCGACAAACCCCTACCAGTGGAGGTACGTTGAGTCCAAAAGGAATCCTGCAGATGACGCTTCCCGTGGTCTTGACGGTCAAGAATTATCCCCGCAGTGTCGTTGGATTACAGGTCCGAACTTCTTACGGCTACCTGAGAGTGAGTGGCCTCAACTCCCTGGTGACCTAGACGATATCCCTGTAGACGACCCTGAAGTTAAAAGAATCTTGGTACACAGCACGGACGTCGATGAGAGCGAAGATTTTCTGATGAGGCTTAACCGATTTTCCGAATGGCACCGACTAAGGAAATCTATTGCTTGGATACTCCGTCTCAAGCCCAAGCAAGGTATTACTGACGATGGTACAAGGAGAGGTGGAAACGCCACAAAGGTTGAAGCCGAGCCTCTGAGGGTAGAAGAGTTAGATAGAGCTGAGAAGACCATTCTTAAACTTATACAGAGCAGAGCGTTTCCCAAGGAAATAGGAGCCCTACAGAAGATTCAAAGAGCATATACCAAGGACGATCGCCAATTCGCGAAAGCGAAGAAGTCTGAAATTAGGAAGTCAAGTACCCTGTTCCGCCTCGATCCCTTTCTAGACAAGGATGGACTCATCCGCGTTGGTGGTAGACTGGGCAATTCACAGGAGTTCGAGGAAAGTTTTAAGCATCCGGTTATCCTCCCTAAGAAGAGTTTCATCGTCGAGCTCATCATTGGCGACGCTCATAAGAAAGTCGCTCATGCTGGCAGAGGCATAACGTTGAACGAGCTTAGAAGCCGATATTGGATAGTTAACGCGAATTCTGCCGTGAGACATCTCATTTCCAAGTGTGTTGTGTGTCGTCGTCTTCGAGGAGCAACCGGTGAACAGAAGATGGCTGATCTGCCGGAGGAGAGGATAACATCTGCCCCTCCCTTCACCTATTGTGGTGTCGATCTGTTTGGTCCCTTCCAAATAAAACAAGGCAGGAAAGAAGTCAAACGTTATGGGGTGCTATTTACTTGCTTAGCCAGTAGAGGAGTACACATCGAGACAGCAGACTCGCTAGAAACAGATTCCTTCATGAACGCACTACGAAGGTTCATAGCAAGGAGAGGGCCAGTGCGCGAGATCAGATCAGACCAGGGAACCAACATTGTGGGAGCTCAGACAGAGCTTAAGAAAGCCCTAGAGGAGATGGATCATGATGACATCCAAAGACGCCTCAGCAAAGACTTCAACTCTGATTGGGTTATCAAATGGAAAAGGAATCCCCCAGCTGCGTCTCATATGGGTGGCGTCTGGGAACGTCAGATACGATCTGTTCGATCCATCTTGTCTGCGCTGATGCGAGAATATGGTCACGTCCTTGATGATGAGTCTCTTAGAACCTTGATGGCTGAGGTAGAATGCGTCATCAACAGCCGTCCGCTTACCGTCCCGTCAAGTGATCCCGGAGATTTGGATCCTTTAACGCCCAGTCACCTATTGACGATGAAATCAAAGATCGTAATGCCGCCCCCGGGTAACTTCCAGAAGGCCGACGTTTATCTCCGTCGAAGATGGAAACGGGTTCAATATTTGTCCAACGTCTTTTGGTCGAGATGGAGAAAGGAGTACGTCCAGACCCTACAAGAGAGAGTGAAATGGACCAACCCGAGGAGAAACCTTCAAAGAGGGGACCTTGTATTGATCGCCGATGATAGAGTGCCAAGAAATCAATGGAATATGGCTCGAGTTGTCGACTCATGCCCAGATTCAAAGGGACAGGTCCGATCGGTGAAGGTTGCAACGGCAACGACAACGTTGGAGAGGCCAATTCAGAAGCTCGTGCTAATACTTGAGAATGAAGAAAACTGAGGACCAGGGGTATATCCCAGCCAGAGGAGCCATGGAGATTTAGAGATGTTCAATGAACTTTAATGCTTAATTAAGAATTAAGGACATAAGAGTTTTTCCTAACTCTTAGGGGAGCCAGATGTTACGGCCGCATTCCACGTCAATATGTTTAGCGTTTAGTTCTTTGTATAGTTGCACATTCCTTTCACATTCTTTTCAGTTATCGCTATTCATATTCTGTTAGATTTCTCTGCATAATTTTCTTTGTTCTTAGATCATTTGTAAGTTTCATCGTTTATTCTAATTCATTTCGCTTTAGCTTTCACGGCAACATCATCGCAGTTTTTTCGTCCAGTCTTGTTAGCCATCGTACATTTTTTTCCGTTCAACTTTCTAGTCACACAACGTTTGTAAGTATTTTCGCTTAGTTTCTTTCCGTTTCCTGTATTTTCGTCGTTTCACAGCTGTCATTTGTATTCCTTAGTAATTTGTATTTTTTTTGTTTCGCTTTTAGCAACCGTAATCGTAATTCGTTATAAATGTAATAAAGACGAGTTGGAACCGTGGACCATCCTTGGATTATTTGCTCTAATATTTTCATAAAGAAAAGATTCACAGTTGTTATTGGAAATATTAAACACGACACTTTAATTACTAAAATTAAACTGAACTGCGTTTCTTTTGCGCCACATTCACGGATTTTCTTAGTCGTTGGTTCATCGATTTCCACAGCCAAAACGACAGTTCGAAATTTAACAGCGTCTTTAAAATTCTACGGTTCCACGAAAGTGTCGCTGTCATGATAAGGAGTTCTGTTATTTAACCAGTCATCCCAAACTCCTGTACTCCGTGAAGACATGTAGTTGACCTCTTTGGGTTTTGTGGTATTCTTGGCTTGATTCCTCGACTGAATTTCCTTGTCAGGTACAGTTATGAAGTGATCCCTCGCCCGGAATCTTCTTCTGTAAACATGCAGGTCGGTCGAAAGATCCTCGGTGCGAAAATTGAAATTGTCAACTGCTTGCTCGTTTTCTGCACCCGCAAATGAACTTCAAATTGTTTTCGGAAAGCTCTTGAAGTACCGCCACTAAAGCTGCTTTAGTATGAGTAATAAACGGCTCTACTTCTGGCTCCGAATCGCTCGACACTGCTAGGCTCTTTAGGCCTTTTCTCAGTAGCATTCACTGCTAACAACTAATTTGAAATGCGACTTTGAAAAACTAACATAATTAAAAAGCCGAGAAACTTGTGAATGCCACCAGTGCCAGTATGGAGTGTTAAAAAACAAAAGAAAGATGAACAATAGAGACATTTTTCGTCATTGAATTTTTGCATCACTTGAGGAATCCTCGCCAATGTAAAAATAAACCGTTTATCGGCCTTTAGCTCGTGGTTATGTGATTTATTCCCCTCGTGCGTTGCCCGAGGGCGCAGCCCGAGAGCAACGCACGAGGGGAATAAATCACATAACCCCTCGCTTCAGGCCGATAACCCTTACATAACAATAAAACAAGCATGAAGAATACTCAGTCGCCAAAATTGGAAAAGCAAAACAAAACTGTTGGAAAAGTGAAATCAACCTGTATTTAGCGGAGACCTCTATTAAGCGGACACTAGCGAAGGTCCCTTGGGTTTCCACCTGATGCAGGTCTCACTGAACTATATAAAGCCCTGTTGAAGTAAAACAAATAATACACACTGGCAAGGGACTTTACAGCAGTTTGTCACAACTGGCAAAGATAATGGCAAGACTAGTGTTGCCATGGATATTGCTACTGGACTGGTAATGGCCATTTTTTAAAAACGTCGTTATATTCATTTACTTTGAATTTCAGAGACACCAAACATTACACATCCAATGGAAAACGCTGTAAGTGACAACGAGGGAAGGCTAGTTAACATCAGTTGTAGGGCTACAGGAAATCCAGACCCAGATGTAAGGTGGATCCATAACGGAAAGGTGAAAAGTTCTGGTGCCAGAACAGCTGAGTTAATCTTCGGAAAAGTCGGAAAAGAGGACACAGGAATGTACATATGTGAAGCAAATAACTCCTTTGGCCGCACAGAAAAACAGCTGTACTTTAAAGTCAACTGTGAGTACTTCCTGCAATTGTTACGTTTCATAGTGTTTTATTTGTTATGATTTATTGAATTGACTCTCCTTGAATTACTCAAAGTTTCAAGGGAAACAGTTTCAGGTGAGACTTATCGAGCCACTTGTCATAAATTTCTGTTGGTAAATGTGTTGTATGAATGAAATTATTATACATTCAATCAGAGGGAGAGTATATGGAGAATTGTGTAGATCTTGTTGGGTGTATATCATATTCAGCCTCATCCATTAGCGCTTTGCACTAATGACGTCACAAATGTCTGGTCCCTGCCGTGACTGGTGACTCAGACATTGAAGCTGACCGGTATAAGAGTTTTGTATGGGGAAGACACGTTCGCCAACAAATTTCCGTCGTCTTTGAAGATTTTTATCGTTAAAAGAAGCAAAATACAGCTCGGTTTTGATAATATATATCTTAATCAACGCGTCTCAAGACAACGTTAAACATGGAAAAAAACTGTACAGATGAGTGAATTTATTTCTTATGCGGTGTCGTTGCTGTAGGTAAAATTATATATGTTACAGCATTTTACTAAGAAAAGTGTGGAGAGCAGGGCTTCTGGCAAAGCTGTTCGTATGAAACGGTGCATTAGGTTAAATTTAAAGGCAAAGATTTCTCAATTTTTTTAGTCGAGTGCTTATGTTACGCTCCTTAGTACTACAGGATCATATGGGAAGTACTGTATTCGTCGCCGATTCGTATGGTATCTACCTGGCCGCACAACAACGGAACAAAGTTGTAAATTTCCGGTTTGTGCTAACATTGGTGTGCTTTTCAGCTTACATATTCTGTGACAGGCTTGCGAGAAGCACATAGAAACTCAATTTTCTCTTTAGCAATTTCTGTTTTGGAGTATTACACGGCCATGTCGTGTTTCAGTGCATAGAGTTCTATCTGACTAAGACAGAGCCAGGGATCCGATTTCAAAAGCCTTTTTTGATCAAGTCGCTTTATTTGCTGATTTAAACCATTTATTTTAGTTACTTTGACCAGGTTTTGCTCCCTACAGCAGTGGTGCCTTTTATATATTCGAATAAAGCTAAAAAAAACATTTTAAAAGCGCTCACTGCGAATTTTATGAACAATTTTCATGTCTGAAACGCATGTTGCTCATTCAAAGCCTTTGAATACAAAGTTTGGTTGAGACTCGCGGGGGGTCTAAGGTGGCAAAACCTATTTTTAGTAATAGTGCAAAACGCTATTAGCGCCAAATAATAACATTATTGTCACCAACAGTAAAAGTACCACGATGAAAAAACGAAAATCCGCTTGCCATGGAAGTTTTGCTATAGTCTTCGTGCTTCTTAAAGTGTATGTAAAAGATAGTCTTTTTGGGCGTTTCATTGACTGGTTATCGGCCATGTGACACGTCACGTGACGTCATCCTAAGTCGTATGTACAAGTAAAGCTCCGTCTTACACCATTCTGCCCGCACGCTTAAGAATTGATGAATAAATTTTATCGATGAGACATTTCCATTATATTTCTGAACCATTTAATATATATTTGCCATTGGCTGTTCACGAACTCGATGGAGACATCTTCAGTATGCTGTGCTTTCCTTGCATTGTTGTTACTTCCGCATGCCGGTAGGTACTTTCTCTCTTTATTTTCCTTATGTGCTCATTGAATACGCTAAAAGCAGGTGGTGGTTAAATAAGAAACAGTCAAGAGTATTGAGGGTTTGTTCTGTAATATTTTAACTGTTTCTATCAGCGCGTGGTCGGTTAGGTCGGTGCATTATTAAAAATATTATTAAGGGTTTTCGCTTATGTAACGTTGCATCATAAATTTGCAAAACTTGAATGCCAAACTCCCTGTCATAACAACATCGCTCGGTAAAATCTGCCTAGAACTCTTTACACGTTCGACATCAATGTCTCTTTAGCTAAACTCATTTTGAAACAGTCTGAGCTTGATTGGGACCGCTTAGACAATTATATCGAAACCAAAATCTTCGTGTACCGCTGAAAGCGATTTGTTAAATGCTAAGGGTTACAAATTTTCGTTACCCGGAGTAACGCAAAGTAACGATAATAACACTAAAGCGTCTTGAGCGAAATAGTCAGCTTAGTATATTATCCTCTACTGCAATTCATTTTCAGAGGTAAAGCTTACAACTGCACTTTTATCAATGATAAAATATGGAATATCTTATATAAATCTCTGTTTCTTAATCTGCAGTGAATTTAGGAGTTTATTCTGTACAAATTCCAAATTTTTAACCTTTAATTAATAGGTCTTAACATGTTGAAATTACAGAATGAAACTTTGAAAGTCAATGTCATCGTCCACTTTAAAACAGCTAATGCTTAATATGTTCTGTACATGTAATAGATCAGACGTTGGTGGTGCAATTCAAGTCACCATACCAAGGAAAAATTGTGACAGGAGTGATTGGTCAATCTGTGACATTTCAGTGGAAATTTTCTGGTAGAGTTGATGAGGTAATTTGGGCATTGAAGGGAGATGGTGTGAATCTAATTGATAAAAGAAATGGACTATTAGCAGCTTTAGATAGACGTGGTATTGATTTAGTTTCACCTGGATTAGTCCCTGATGCATACAGAGGTCGTGTGAATGGAAATCGTACCGGTGACTCATCTTCGGGTCTGGCCAGCTTCACGCTCCATAATCTTAGCAAAGAGCACGGGCGAATTTATGGATGTGAACTAAGTCCTGATGACCCAAACCAAGCGCCAATAACTGATTTAGTCCAACTGCTTCTTGTAGGTATGTACCTTAAGTGGAAGGACTCAGGATGAGGTTTTTAAATATTTTCTGTGGTTAAAGGTGAAAACTAGAACTAGTCAGTAAAAGTATGAGGATTCTGAAATCTCTTTAAACTGCTTTTACTGATCAGCATCTTTCTTCAACTGATTGGAATGGTTGTTTTTACATTTCGTACTTCGCTACTATCTTTTATCTATTTATACTTTTATCGTTTATTTGCCAATTTTTAACAAAAGAGACAGAAACTATGAACGTCCGTCAGTCAGTTGTTTTTCCGAGAATTTTAAAGGTAGTTTTGTTCTTTTCAACCAAATATTTTACTTTAAGTAGGTGGAATATGACCGTCCAGGTGGGTACAGTCCTGAGTAAGGCTGTTGTTGACAGTAGCTGACGCTCTTTCACAATCAGTGCTGTAGTCATTCAGTATCAAAGTGTGTTTTATCATGTTAGTTGATGGCATTAAAGTAAACGGTTATTAAACTAAGTCGCTATTATATTGTTCGTCTGTCAACACTATATCGCAAACTAGTTGACCAGTCAGTTCAGAAATTATGGCTCAAACCATTTATCGAATATTTACCGTTGAAAAACAACGTGGCATCACGACACTAGCAGCAAATTGACTTTCCCTTACCGTTCCCTTCACTTTTTGTTACAGAAATGAAAAAAAGTAACTTACTGTTAATCTGCATATTTATTACAAATCGCTTTTAACTTTACAGCGGAACCCACCATCACCTATCCAACTCTACAAAATGCAAGTTATAATGAAGGGAGTCCTATTAACATCACTTGTGCAGCAACAGGAAAACCAGCCCCAGAAGTGAGGTGGGCCCATAATGGACATGAACGAACTTTTGGCCTAAATACAGCTTTTCTCATTTTTTGTAAAACCGAAAAGATAGATGCAGGGATATACACTTGCTTTGCCAACAACAGTGTAGGACAGAAAGAGAAACAACTGAAACTTTTAGTTAACTGTAAGTACGACTCAGTTACCATTAATGATGAGGCCACTGTAAACAGTATCACTTACACTACTACTTTGTCACAAGCTAATAAGCCTGCAGGACACTACTGTGTATTTTCACGCAAATCTTGATTGGAGTAAACACTTATGTAAGCCCTTTACTTTTATTGAATGCATCCAAGGAGCATGTAACTGAATAGCCTTTATAACTGATCACCTTAACCAACGCGGTGCCGAAACATCAATTTCGCCTTCGGCTCGTGATTTACACTGGGATTTTCTCGTGATTTCCCAACATCCCGCGTGGGTTATCACGCCCGTAAACCCATAGAAAGTGTGGTCTATTGCTTTTACAACATAACTTTTAGTTGAACGGAGTCTTTTAGGTAAACAATGTGGTTTTAGTACAGTGATCAAGTCATGTCTTCTCTCTAAAGTCGCCAATCATGACTCACGATTTAATAGCGCCAAACTTTCTCAAAACTCAGTTCAGTGAAACAAACATACAGCAGCACTTCAAAACACGAGTTTTTTCACTCATTACAGGATAACTTATGAAAGCTGTTTTACAGGAAAAGTCAACACATATTCATGCGAAAGTACAATGTTTACTACAGAAGTAGAAAATTGCACATCAAACTGTACGCAGCTGTATTTTGTTGAGTCGATCCGTAAAAATTTCATGCTTACAGACGGAACTGGCAGCTGTTGTAATGGAGGACTTCATTCACTTTTTATAAGCTGCAGTGGTTTTTAAAAGATCTGTTTTCTGGACTTTATCATGATCAAGAAATGCTGCGATAACGACGTGGCTACATTTGAGAAGTTGTCGCATGTAACTTATGTACGTAGAGCGACAGATGGAAATATGTCAGTGGTAGCTCTAAATTTGGAGAAAGGTTTCTTTGCCGTAGCCACATATTAGCGTTAATATTTGTCGATTTGCTAAGTCAGGTGGTTTGAAGTAGGTTATGGCATCGAAATTACCGAATAATTTGTGCAAATGTTGGAAAAAAACCAGCGCGAAACTCTAACATCTTT